CTCCTTAGCGAAAATGCAAACCGCGGCTTCGTTTACGAGTTATCAACGAAAATCAGTGACCAATGAGAGGCGAGATCTGCTGGCGCGAGACGGCCGAGCCAATGAGCGGAGCTGGGCTTCGCGCGCTCGTTGGCTCGGCCGCCTCGCGTCAGCAGAGCTCGCTTCTTATTGGTTGGCGTTTTTCATTAATAACTCGTAAACGAAGCCGCGGTTTGCATTTTCGCTAAGGAAAAAGTTACTTCAAATAACCTAAGGAATCCACCATATCCACACCCTGTATATTTAGCTAAAGAAGGTGGCACAAGAACTAGCCTGCCGCTTGCTGGCGCGACAGTGTCCGACTGTTACCGTCCTTTTCTACTTGGCGCAGCTGATTTGCCAAAGAAAACATATCTCACGGTGGCAAACAATCAATGAAGCCTGATCGGAAGATCCAGGACGGTTCCAGGAGCCCCTGGAGGATCGTGTTACCTTTCCCCGTAATTTGGAAAGTGATTAGAGCGTTTCTGGCCGCGCCTCGCTGTCTGTAAATGATCCAAAAGGCTCCGGCGCGCGGGTGGGTAACGGTGTAACGCCGCGGCGTCTCATCTGTTGCACGCGAAGGATTAATTTCGGGTGCCGACGAGGTGATCTTGTTTGCAATTTCTTGCCCCGCGGGTATTAGATCGACGAAATCTCCTGGTCTGAAATTTCGCTCCGGCTCGATTCGCGTGCCCCCGTACATGTGCCCGCACGTACACGCGAGACGAGAAAAGCGCCGTGTGCACGTGCGCGCACACAGACCTATATATATATATGCACGACACGCGAGAACACCGCGACCCTGGGGAGCCTGAACTACCGTCGGTTTCTTGCCTAGAAGGCAGTGCCGGTACCACCGAGATGATCAATGGCGGAAAAGCCCGCGGTTCAATGATTAATTGGACACAGCTCAGACCCATTAATTGTCCCTTCGCTCGCCTTTTTTTCCCCCGCTTCGTACGGACGTCCCGGTAAACATTTGATACGTGATGCCAGTCCTGAATTTACATTCGAAAAGTTGCGCGACGCGGCACCATGCTTCATCCTTTATTGTTACGGAAATAAAGTCCACGGACACGAATGCTTCCCGGATATTTTTGCAACGAGTCTGGACATTTTACATGTTTATTCAAACAATTTACGGAAGGACGATAGAAGCAAGCAGCAGATTTTGTTCACTGGTGGTCTCCGCCGAAATTCTAATAAAAAGTATAAATATTTTTTTCTGGTTTGTGTAGAAATCTACCGTGAATTTTTATTTGCGAATCGTTGAAGCATGATTGTTCGATCAGTTTGTTTTTTTAGTACAAGAGAGCACGGAAATGTGCGTTGATAAAGTTAGTAGTTTTATGATATGAAGTTCTGAAACTAGTAATTTTTCAGTTATTTTTCAAAGTAATTTTTTGATCTAATTCTGTGATTGGCTATATTTCATTTTTTACAGTTGTGCTGGTTGCCTGTAAATACAGAAAAAGGTGTAAAATGCATTTGAAATCGAATGGAAATTTCTTTCGGCCGTGATTTCGGCGGTATCTACCCCTGCGACGAAGGGTGCCGAAATTTTTCCCCGGGAAAAATTCGTATAGCTCGTTTGCCGTCTAACAGGTATGACTTTGGGCCACTTTGGGGAAGAATTTCATCAAGAAGAGCCCTACAGATTCCCGTAAAAAATATTTTCCTCGAGGCACCGGGAAAAAGTCGGAATTTCGCGGATCAAGACGGAGTTCGGGCATGTCTCGTTGCACCCTAACCGCCGCACAGCCGCGTCGGTCAGCCATTCGACGGTTAGACGGCGGGAACTTTCGGAATTAATCCGAGCTAACTCGGCGACGAGTCTGTTTCTGCTTAGGCGAACTTGAAATGTCCCTGGCAGCCTGATATCTGACCCCGAGGCTCCCGAGGCTTCGAGGATCTCGAGGACAGCCACTTGCCTCGCGTCAGCCACCCTCCGCCGCGCCGCGCCGCACCCATCCTACTCTCTTTCGCCGTCTCACTTCGCGAGCCCTGTTTGCTCGTGGCCCGTCTCGCAACAAGGTTACGTCCCGCGAGAACCGACGGCGCGGCCCCGGACCTCGTTCAAACTTTCTGCGAATTCGGTGAGCCGAAATTAATTAGCGGCGGAGACGATCGCTGCTAACTCCCGGTCGCTTTCACTGGCAACAGGCAATCAAAGTTTGAGCAAAAGTTCGTCCCGCTCCCGCGGATCCTCTCCCCGCGGTGCGTTTGACAGAACTCATCGGCGAGCCGCGACGATTGTTCCTAATTATCGCGAAAAGAAAACGCGTGCCACGGGGATCGGGGGTCAGGTGACGCGGAACTCCAGTTTTTTCAGGTACCAATTGGACAAAATTCCCTTTTTACGTTTATTGTGTATCATGATGATACGCAAGTATGCTTATTCTGCCATATGCACCGTGTTTATTAACAATTGTTTAGCAAAGGTTTTTTTTTAAAAATGTATTAATACAAAATATCGATTGTAAAGCAATAATATAACGAATTATAATAGAATTGCAATTCGAATTATAATAGAGAAATAATATACAATTACATTTAATTAAATTGAAAGTAAATGCATTGAATCATCATATTTATAGAGCTAAATTCTTGTTCGCCAAATTTCTTCAGACGAATTTTCAATGTATATAGAAATAATAAAAAGTAATATTGACAGGAGAAGAATGATATTGACATATTTGATCGAGACGATTGTCATTAAAATTGTTACTCTGCATCATAAAAATTTATTCCGAGACATAAGAAAGTACGAAACTTATTTTAATAAACACTTCACGTTGATCTTAAATAAGAGCTTGACTATGCGAAGCGCACAACTGTGAGAACGTTAAATGATTTTAAGAATTATTCGTACAGGATACACATTTGAATCCAACTTACGTTTCTTCGAATTAACTTTGTTCATTTTTATTTTGCATACAGATCCGCAGTCTGGCGATAAATCATTAAACTTTCCTTGACCCAATACCCCGCGATTCCTCTGCTACAGTATTCCTATTTGTAGCTTAAAACTTCTGCCCGCTTAATGTTGCACCGCGTTAAGAACTTTCGAACAACTCTCGCTGGAATCCCCTTAATTCCATAACAAGGCTCTCGTGGATCCTCTCATCCCCCCCCCCCTCCACCACCCAGACCGTGTCCGAAGTCGAAGAAGTTCAGGCTTGTTTAGGATTGTGACGACTGCAATGTCTATTCCGAGCGAAGTAGATTCTATTGTCAATGTGTTCCTCGAAAATCTTCCGCGAAAACTTGCGCGAACTCGTTGTAAAACAGTGCTACAATTTGCACCGGTCAAGCTGCCAGATCTGTCTTGCCTGTCTCGGCGAATCAGAGAGTCCCTTGGGAATTTATAAGCGACGTTTTAACTCGTCGACGGTGTTCGTAAATAGACTTGCACTAGTGATGTTCGAGACCTGACTAAAAATGAAACACGTACATAGTCGAAAAATGTAGTATGCGAGAAATAAATCCATGAGCTGGAAGAAAAACTCTTTATATTCTATAATTTTTATTCGAATCGATTATTCTCTGTATGCACTCCTGTACGAATGAATTTTTATTCGAATAAAATATTATTCGAATGAATTCTTATTCGAATAAAATATTATTCGAACGAATTCTTATCGGAATAAAATATTATTCGAACGAATTATTACTCGAATAAAATATTATTCGTATGAATTCTTATTCGAATAAAATATTATTCGAACGGATTCTTATTCGAATAAAATCTTATTCGAATGAATTCTTATTCGAACGAATTCTTATTCGAACGAATTCTTATTCGAATGAATTCTTATTCGAATAAAATATTATTCGAATTAATTCTTATTCGAATGAATTCTTATTGAAATGAATTCTGATTCGAATGAACTCTTATTCGGTCAAATTTAGATCTAGATGAATTTAAATTCGAGTCAATCAAATTTCATTCGTTAGTCTTCATCTCTCATCAGTGAACCGAATAAAATTTCGCCCAACTCTAACCAAGACGATCTCACGAAATCTATTGAGAACAGCTTCTGACTGATATTTTAACCAATCGATCGAGCCGAGGATAATAGATCGATTGGATTCGCAAGGATTCGAAGAGGAACTTAAGTTGAGGAAATCAGGAAAGATGGAACTCGGACGAACGAGAGCTTCCAACAACAGAAACCAGAAGAGACAATATTTGCAGAGAGACATTGATAATCATAACGTTCGAGTTAACAAAAATAATTCGCGTAATGGAATCGGGAGAAGCGTTCGCGTCTGCTAATCAAACAGATAGGGCTACTCCGCTAATAGAACCCGGCGAAACCGATGGAACCTCGTCGATAGCGAAGGCAATAATATTTTCAGATGAAAGAATCGTCTCACCTTGACCTAGAATTCGTTTTTAAGTTTTCCCGGTTATTCAATCACAGCGCCCCGTCTCTCCTGGACTTCTCCCTGGCCGTTCCTGTTTCCGCAAGCCGGCGTTGTCCCGCGGGTGCTCGGCGACTTCCTGCGAAAAAAGACCAGAACAACTCCCATCAATCTCCGCGGGGCGCAAACGAGAATCCGCGTTTTAAGGTCAAGTGGGTTCCGCAAGGGGTGGAAGAAAATCCACGTGCCAATGGCTCGCTGAATGCTGCCTTATCCTCAATCAGTCCCGGCCGCCCACCCTTCTCCGGCTTCTCGCGAAACGGCACACGTTCGGAACAATGCCCGTTTACCTGTTCCTTCGCCATTCACGCGAGTCGCTTAATTGCCCTCTTATTGGAAAGACCGGGTCGCGTAGCTGCTGCTGCTGCCGTTCTCTTAATTCTCCGCGGTAATGCCTTCCCAAATTCGTCGTCAGCTTCTGTCGAAACTGCATCGAGTGCAGCTTTCATCATTCGTTAAAACTCTAACTCGTTGCGAAAATTTCGAACATGGCCGAGTACTAGTTTTTATTCAATTTTATTCAATTTTATCCAATTTTTTTGTTGGATACAGCTGGCGATTGTAAATAATAGTCCGCGGATATTTACGAAACATAAATATTGTCTGCATCGATTGCGAGAAATATAAACTAAATAGCAAATTTTATGTTATTGTGACAATTTCAATTGAGGATAGTGTATTGACATTTTTATATTATTAACGTTAATATATACTGGCAGTTTTAAATTAAAATTTATTAACTTCAATTGTTGAAGTTAATAAATCGATGTGCTTAAATTTGGATTGGAATTAATACCGTGACACGTTTATAAATTCTTATTAAAATAAATATATCAACGTCTACGAATTCTCTGATTGAAATGAATATATTAACATTTGAAAATTCTTCTGATCTTTCCACTATTCGCGATCACAACTATTTCATTCCAGCATAAAGCATAAATTCCGCTAATTAACGTAGCCACACAAAACATATAAATTTTCCCTCGCGTGTATGAATTCATTCGAGGACAGAATGTTATATTATATATGCAATAATTCTTCGCAAGCCCGGACAAGGAACAATTTATTAAACTGTCCGAAATATATTCCGCGTTGAAAATAAATTGCAGACGCTCCTCCACATAAATTCCATAGGTTTCATCTGCAATCCAGCAACGCGCAATCGATTTCATTTTATCGTTTTCCTTTTAGGAACGTGTAACTTCCAGCTGGGGAGAAATAAGTCGTCGCTCTGTCGCGCCGCGAAAATAAGAGGACTGCGTGGGCGTCGGGTGACGCAACGGTTGCGTACAGGAGGAACGTGGATTGTTTTACAAGGGTGTCGCCGGGAGGGACGGACCCGGCCCACGGCTGTTTTCCGTGGAATTTCATATTTTGACAGTAATTGAAACGTATTTGCCGGTGGCGCGCGAAAATACCGGGCGAGTTCCCATCTTTTTTTCCCCACCGTTTGTCGGACGGCCCGATAATACCGCGGTATCTCAACGGTAACGGACGCGAACTCTTCACCGTTCCCGCGAACTTTCCTACGAATTTTCTTCCGCCGCGAATTTATGCGAGACGCGAAACTTTCGCGGCGTCCCTTCAAAAATTGCGACGATTTTATTAAAAGCTGGAGGAGAGAGATAAGAGGGGGACACCGCGGTGGACGGAAACGCTAAAAAGCTGGCCAAAGTATTTAAATGCAACGTCGACGTCGGGGAAACTTCTAAAAACGTTAGAATTCTACAGGAGTTCCTTGCGTCACCGATTATTTCATGTCAGATTAATCCTTCGATTAATTGTTCGGCAAGAAAGAAACGATTATTCGGAAGAATTTTTATCGGAGACTTTGTAGAGCTATATATTATATAGCTATATATGTATACATGTATTTATAGAGATACATAAAGCTCCTTAAATATTACAACTCTAATTTAAATAAAGACCTAAGAGTACAAATCGTTTTCTGAGATAAAATGGAAAACTTATTAATCGTAATTTCAATTAGTAATATGATTACAACTTTGTGTCGTCGCCTAAAGTCATCGTCTGACAGTCCTGTGATCAAATTGTCCACTACGTTTTATCACTTTTTTATACTTTGAAGCGTTATTTATTATCATTCTGATTCATTGGAACGGTATTCGTTACTTCGAAGAATTGCAGTACGGCCATCTTTTCGGCGTTTTCGGCCGGTCGCGGAACGACGCGCGACGATGGGAAAATTGTTTACGTTCCCCGGGGCTTTATTAATAGCCGGCCGGATGTACGAATTTAATGGCGGGCCGCATACTGTGCCCCGGCAAGCCGTATTACTACGATCTAAGCCGCATTAAGGCTACGGGATGCGTTTCAAGTCAGCCAAAACTTGGGAAGTTAACGTTGTACATCTTAACGTAATCCGGCACATTTCTCTCCTTAATCCTTTATCTGGGAGAAGGTACCGAGCCGGCACGGCTAACCCCGAGGACTTCGTTACAAGTGTAATTGAATCTATTAAACGGAATTTATTCCGGAATATCCGTGCCGGAATTTTCATACGATTAAAGGCCGGGCGGCGGCGATCTCGACGGTTCCTTTAATTAGGACGCTTAATCCTCGGAATATTCAACGCACTCGAATCTCGTTTGCGAATTATTTTTCCGAGCCAGTCGGGCCAAATATTTCGTTCGTCCAGCCACGCTCGGTGGCGCGCTTTCGCCCGAGGAAGCCCGATGCACTCGGCGCATGCACTCGGGTGCATCCAAACTCGCGGGCCCGGTGCAGGCGTACCCGATGCGCGGTGTCCAAATCGATGCCCTCGAACGCGACACGTTATTTAACACTCCTGCAGCCCATCAACGGTGCGCACGGCTCTTCCATACGATATGAAAGATTGACTAACCCTATCCTGCAAAGTAAATCAAGGGAAGAGTTTTATCATCGCGAATATTCCGCTGGAGAGGTCGACGGAAAATCTTGACTCACGGGGAATCAAGTATATGGATAGAAAGGATCCGTTTGTCGAACCCTTTATGCATCCGTCGCTTCGGATGCGATTAATTAACTCCCCTATAGTGTTCATGAAGACATGCACTGATGCTGTTTGGCTCGTATAGACATGATTGTAGAATATTACTTAAATAAGTTATAAATCGCAACAAGTTCACGTAAAGTCCCAGTATATCGATATTTATTTATTTGTTTATTTGCACGTATTTATTTACATGCGTTTATTCAATTATCTACTTATTTTAAAAACTGTTGCCGATGCTTTTACGTCACTGGTCATAATATGACATGTAACAATATCTATTTCTACAGCAATGCAATCAATTTTGCAAGAAACTCAATCACTGTTTTCAAATTGGTACAAAAAAGGTAAAGTCAATAAAATGGCAATTAAACCCATAAAATTGGCAATTAAATGCTTACATTAAAAGATACATGTATAAATGTATGTAGAAAGATCGTTATTACGTAAAAATCGAAATTTTTGGCATCGCGTCAAGTTAAAGTTTGTCGAGATAGATAAATGATTAAACAAATAAATGAATATCGATTAACTAGGACTTAGATTAGAGAATCTCGCACAGAGATTTTACTCATTATATCAGTGCAAAATAACGGATCTGTGAGACACGCATAATCCTCCTGGCAATCGGAGAAGTTCGCATGGTACACGTACACGTCTCTGACTAGGGTGGAAAGGGTTAAACGTTCGTTTCGATATGAACGCTGCACCCGCGGACGGGAGAAAAACACGGCAGGCAAACAGAGAGGCTGCAGGGCCGGGAGGACAATCGAAGGATGAATTATTCTGTTTACGTCAGTGGCGATAGCAGCGTCGGAAAGACACTCAAGACCCTCGAGGAGCCTCACGCTCCGAGCCCCTAATCAGTTCTCGTAATCTCGAGCTCCCGACGAAAGCTCTTTGCAGTTCCTCGACGTCTCTATTCCGTCCCTTTATCCTTGCCCCCTTGTTCTTTCGAGGCCCCTCGACGACATCGGGTCCGCGGGGCGAAACGTGAAACGGATCAAAGGGGGGCGGGGGTGGATGACGGTGGGGCCAACAGAGAGAAAGAGAGGCTGATGGGGGCAGAGAGAGAGAGAGAGGGGGGGGGGGAGAGCGGGATAGGGTCACCGGATAAATTTTCCCCGGCAAGTCATAATAAAGCAGCTCGTTCCGCGCCGGCACTTTTCCCGTTCGTCTCCTCGGCTCTCCCGTCCCGCCCCCGCCCGCGTATTTCCATTCGCCGCGGCAGCGGCGCACGCTCTTCCTTTCGTGCCTCGTCAGTCCTCGACCTCGTCGCCGCCACTTCTTCTTCGTTTCGAGACCTCCATCTCGACCCTTTTACAGGCAAACTCGCTTCAAATTGCCCCTGGAAATCTCATTTCCACCCTGCTCCATCTTTCCCTCTCTTTCTCTTTCTGTGTTTCTCTCTCTCTCCCTTTCGCGATCACCCTTCGTCCCTTCCGATGCCTCGCTGCCAAAAAACGACGAAATAAGAGAAGAGAAAGAGGAATTACACGGTCGCACACAGCCGCCGGAATGATTCTCACCGTTTTGGATGAGCCAGGGAACATTTCAAACGATAATGCTTTGCTTCCGAAAGGTTAACGGTGGTTCATAGTTCTCTTAATCCGTGCAACTCTGCATTTCTTCACACGCGACCGCGGCCTTTCTTTAGCTGGCTCTAGAGACCCTCGGGCTCAAGGTCGTTCAAGGTTCCGGCCGGCAAAAATTAGAGGAAATGTAGCGAATGTCCCAGACGGGCGTTGTTCACTTCTAGACGGTTAGGGGTTGTTCTTCTTTTTTCCTTCTTTGATACAATCTTACAGTTTTGAGCACACGTGAGTTGCGTATATTCTGGAGGCGATTTTAACGAATTTGGCACTCAGGATTACTCGAGATTATAGCCAGAACACACTGGAAGGTATTGAAAACAGATATTCTTCGTTGTATTCAAGGTCACTTTAGCTCGAGGTCGGAAAAAACGAATTTTTTCCATCAGGAATTGTGAAATATTCGAGATAGTGGGAATCAATCAGGAATTGTTCGACAAATATTCGAAATAATGAGAGTCAATCAGGAATTATTTTAAAATTATTTAA